AGAAGCATAGTACATAGTTGCTTCTCTTTGTGCATGTAAATCAACATGGGTGGATAATTTGGTCGAAGAAATAACAGGGAAAGATCATGGAGCAATTACCGTGAAGATCGACAGCATGTCAGCTATCAACCTGGCAAAGAACCCGATAGCACATGGTCGAAGCAAGTACGTCGAAATGAGATTCCATTATATTCGAGAGCAAGTAGTATATGGGAAGATGAACTTGAAACACTGCAGAATTGAGAATCATATTGTATATATCATGACGAAGGACGTGCAGGTCGAAATATTCTGAAGACTAAGAGCCATGATGAATATAGATAGTTTAGACACAATAAATTAGATGATGTGTTAAATTGTAATTCTTTTGTGTCGAAACTATATGGGTGTCAAAGTGTCGAAGTGTGGAAACAGTTTGTTACACCATATTTGTTTTAGATCTAGATAAGATTTGATTTAGGTTTAAAATAGATAGATTTGATTTAGTTCTAAAATAGGTATTTTGGGCTTTTATAGTTTTGGGCTTTGTCTTAGAGAGCAAGCTAACCTAAATCTATAAATAGAAAAAGTAACCCCTATTTTTGTAATCAATCAAATTGTATTCACAAAATTTGTAGTTGCCAGTGAATAAGAAAGTTTTTCATAATTTGTGGGCAGAGAGAAACTCTGTAGAAAATTAATGTCTTTTTTTCTTTCATATTTTTTCCATTGTTATTGTGTAGTGATAACAATCTTTTTCATCAAGATTGATAGAAATTCATCATAGATTTTGATGAATTTCTACTACTCATATCATTTATAATAATATTTTGAATACAAGTGGGATATCTGTAAAAATATGAAAACTAGCAAAGGATGGAGCCACCTGAGACAAAGCATGAGCGACTTTATTAGCCTGTCTCCTAGTAAACTTGACTATAGAGTTCGTAAAAAGAAGAATCAACAAGTGATTACATTCTCAAGTAGTCACACCAAACTCTAAATCATTGGGTTTCGAGTTGTTCACACTATCCCCCACACATTTAGCATCTAACTCGAAATCCATGTTATCAAGACCAAGATTGTACACCCACTTAATAGTTATTAAGAGACCTAGAGCCTCTCCAATATCAAAACCAGTGGTTGTAAAAAATCATTCAGTTCTAGCAGTGACAAAACACCCTTTAGTGTCTCTTGTGCAAGCACCTACACCTACCTTATCCTGGGAAAAGGAAGCATCAATGTTACATTTAAGACAATTCGTTGAGGGTTTCCCCCACTTAGGAATAGAGTTCCTACTAATTGAGATAATATTATTGCCTCGTACCTGTTGTGTTTCTCTCCATCCTGTCAAACATTGCATAGCTCTATGACAGATATCAACCGCGGAGTCAGTTGTTTGATTCCAAATATGATTATTCATGTCCTTCCAAACACTCTACATGGTAGTAGAAAATTTCCTGATGATCTTGATTATTCGCTTGTAAGAAGGAAAGAATAATCGAGGTAAATTCACCTCCGTTAAGAATTAACGGATGCAAGGTACACCATAAACCCACTATTTTCCAGCATTCAATACTCTTTGAACATTGGAAGAACAAATGATAACTATTTCCTTCGCCTTCCGTGCAGCTAATACAGATTGAGGGACAACCAACTCCTTTGTCTAAGAGGCGACTTCTGGTAGGGATACAATTCCTACACGAACACCACAAAAAATTCTTGACTCTTTGAGGGCCTTTAACATTCTAAATAAGATTCCAATTACCACTAACTCTTAGGTGAGATATGTCAATAGCCTCATTGATACAATACTTATAAGCACTACGAACAGAAAAAATCTCATCATTCTCAAGCTTCCAAATTAATTTGTCATCCTGTACCACATTGGACAAAGGGGTTTGAAGAATATTTTGTGCAACATCGTCCCTAACTAAGGACTGGATCACCACAGGATTCCACTGTTTTCTATTGGGAGTCATAAGATCTGAAACTTTTAGAGAAACAACTACCTCGTTCGTTGGCCACGGGTTTACCAAGACAGTGTTATCGAAACCCGCGGATGATTCCAAACCAAAATATTATCTCTTGATCTTATGCTCCATCTATTACCACCTTGCACAACAAACTTAGAGCTCCAAATACTCCGTCAAACATAGCTCGGATTGTGACTAATAACTGAATCTAAGAAATCACAATTTGGAAAAATACCTTGTTTTGTACATGCCAGAAACTAGGTTAGTAGTATTACTCAAGAGCCTCCAAGCTTGTTTGCTAAGCATAGCATAATTAAACGCAGTGATATTCTTGAAACTCATTCCTCCTTTAGATTTTGGAACAGACAGCTGATCCCAAGATAATCAGTGAATACCTTTTTCAATGTTACTTTTATACCAATGAGACCACATTAGAAGAAAAAAGTCCCACGTTTTTCATATTTAAATACAACCTGGGCCTTGTCACCTGTCATTCGATCAAAAGATCAATTCTTCTTCAGAGGCAACAATATGTTGACAAACACCCTAATTCTCATGAACTTTCTCCACGAGGCATAGTTGTTGTGCTCGTCATACTTAATAAACTTTCTGATATGGTTTCCAATGAGTATCCATGAAGCCGAACAGGAGTTGGTGTACTTGGATCCACATATCAACTTCATTAAGTGGAACTGATAACAGATCCTCTCCAATGTGAAGTTTCCGTAGCACCAGCATGAAACCATCAAACAGCCAACGACCGCCTTGAATAACTCTTTCCATATCCCACACGTGGTAAAATTGGAAGAGGAATTTGTTATCATCTAGCTTTGTGACTCCCACGCTTTGCCCAGGTTGCCATAATTTGGCAAGCATGTCTTTCAATGCACTAAACATGAATGATTTGTTAGTAAGCAACGAACCAATCAAGCATAATTCGAGTAGCTCTCCTTCTGCTAACATAGCCGGATCAATATTGATTTGATCATCGACTCCATAATCAGCAGCGTTTGATCAATCCATAGTAAGAAAACCGAGCAAAAGACAATTCGCAAAAACAATAATTTTTCTGGTGACAAGAAACATGAGTTGATGAAACATGAATCGGGACTCCTTAATATTTAAACAGAATTCTAGAAGACAGGACATCAGAACCTATCAGTATTATTGTTATTGATGAAGTTTTTTGGAATGATTATGGGAATCAAAGCTTTCTTCTGACAACCTATTATATTATTGACATGATTTGATCCATAATCACAAATTATTGACACGATAGAAGAATCCTTAGGATTTTTTGTTCTCCCTCCATCAACATCAACTGTCAATTTATGTTTCCAGAAAGAGAATTCAACTAACTTATGTTTCTAGAAAGAGAATTCAACTGATAGTCAAATAAAGGAATATTTGATATGTCCATCATCAGGAAGAGATGATTGATAAAGATATGATAATCCGAGAATCCGCCATAAAGTATAAGCCAGGTCCCAGCAAATAAACAAGTAGAAGGAATTATGACAAAATCCCTTTTTGAAAACATGGTTTATGCCAAATCGGAATGATCTGATTCCTTCAATCCCTATGCATTATTACGCCCAAGATTGCGGCCCTGATTTTTGCACCTGAGAACTCTCTCCCAGACAATTGTTAAAAGCCATTCCCCTAGAACTGTTTCAATACAATGATGTATAAGGATAAAAGCGATTTCTCCACTTGTTGCAGAAGCGAGGAAGATACTACCGTCTTGATTAACTTGATACCAAAGCCAAATCATACTTACTTCAAGATCTGCCCACTTAACAAAGTCAATAACCGCATTATTGACAAATTTTCCAAAAAGAACACTTGGATTTCCAAAATAAACCCAATTGAAAATTTCCTGATTCCCAAAATTGTCCCCAAAATAAACACAATCGAGAAAGTCCCGAAACCCAAAATTATCCAACCGTGCAACAAGATTCAATTGAAAACCAGATTCCCAAATTGGACATAATTGGACATAGAACGAAACAAATAGCAAAGCTCCCACACAGAAACTCGCAGTTTGCAAGATCAAGGAGAGAAAATCTATCAATAGGGATTAGTCTATCACTCATTTGTAATTGTCTCTAATATTATAAATGTGATTTAAATATTTCATTACGCGACTCAGGACACAATGCATAAATATACGGATTTTTAACTAGTTTTGACATAAAATAAGACAACAATTTTCAACAATTAATTACATGATTAACAAATTTAAAATATACAATTAACTATTTTTAGTGAATAATTAATAAATATCACATATCACTAACTATAAATTTATCCCAGTTAAACTATACTTTAAAATGCCATTAACCATCACTAATTATAGCTAAATACTTAAACACCTAAAAATCGTATATCTTTTAATACCTTAAATAATTAACTAGTTACTAACAACGTGTTAGTTGTGTTAAACCATCAAAATTTGTATAAAATATTTTTTTTGTCATGTTAATCCCTTCCTGACACTTTATGTAATGCAACAATTATAGCTACTTTATGTAATCCCTAACTTAATTTATAGAGAACCCCTAACTTAATTTATCATGAAGTCCAATCTCAAAAAAAATAGCACCTACTAAACAGCGAGAAAAATAAGTTACAATGTAATATAAAAACTTTATATTAGATTATCAATCAAACATTCAAATTTGAAAATCGTCTACCAAAAAAACAATTGAAAATCTCTTAAAAGCAGACGTTTTGTCAAATTAATGAACCACCATGTCTATCAAAGAGACAAGCATTAGCATTGCATTAGGACTAAACAGAAGTCAACAGAGAATAATCAGAAAGGGACTGGGACTGGTAAGTTGAATTGTAAGAGAAGCCGAGCAATCGAATGCATCACCCCAATTGAACAATAATGTGGTAGTTACTTATTGGAAATGTTTTAATAGCCACTGCGGCTTCAATGGGAAGATTTCTTGCATCTATTCCCTTCTAGTCAATAACTTTACTCAAAAAATAGTATAGTAACTAAACCGATTTTAAAATTTAAACAAGATTAACCCTTCATTTGTATGCTTTCACTGCTTTTTGAGCTGCATCATCCAAATCTTCAGCTGTTATTAATGCCATGCCACTTTCCTGTTGAAACATTGGTTGTTGACATAATAAGCCTTTGAAACATTCTTTACTTTAGACCAAACAATTGAAATATTATCAATTCCTTCTCAAAACAGATAGTTTATTTATATTAATAAACCTAAAATTTACCTTCAAAATTCTTTTCCCTTGGTCAACATTAGTGCCTTCGAGACGAACAATTACTGGTACTTTCAGTGCAACCTAAAAAATAACGGCAAGAGAAGTTAATGCTACTATAAGATCGGGTCATATGGATGTCGTGTTCGACCAATATATATTTCAAGGGGAAAATTAGATGATGAAAACAATAACATGAGCTCTAAATTTATTTTAAAAACTGAAAATATTAAGAATCCACACTCACGTTGTAGATCAAAATTAAATCTTACAAGGCATCAATTATAAGTAATTTATGTTTTCTTGACATCATGTAATCCTTTCAATATCAAATAGGTCCAAACAAAACCATAATTAAAACTGCTAATAAGGATAAAATTAATAATAAGGTTGCACGAAGAAACACTCTGTTTTTAAAAGGCGTCACTTTTGTTTTGATAGCGGCGTAACATTACTAACCTGTTTTGCAGCATTCACTATTCCACTTGCTATAACATCACACTTCATTATACCACCAAAGATGTTAACCAAAATCGCCTTGACTTTATCGTCAGCAGTCAATATCTTAAAGGCTTCAACCACCTGATTACATAATTACAGTATATATGAACAAAAACATCTTAAGGAAGAGATCAGATCATTGAAGGTGGTATCTAGTGAGTAGCTAGCGACTACTAAATGATGTTTTTCTAATAAAATCTTTCTGAATTTCAGGTTAATGCACCAGCTGTCAACAAAATGATGTGATATAGGAAGAAATAAGAACAATCATCTCTATCTTAATAATCTAACTAGGACCAATACTAATACCAAAATGAGAACAATCTTGTTGGTAAAGCATTACCTGGCCTTCAGAAGCATTGCCACCTACATCCAGAAAATTGGCAGGAGTACCTCCATGCAACTTAATTATATCCATTGTGGCCATTGCTAACCCTGCTCCATTCACCATGCAGCCAATTTCTCCATCTAACCCAATATAATTTAAATCTGCCTTTGCAGCAGCCACCTGATTAAAAGATAAAAGGCAAAAATAATGTTGCATTAGTCATTTTCCTGGTGAAAAGAGACAAAAGGATGTATAAACTAAAATTTCAATAATCAGGCACAAACATATCATGTGAAATCTTGATACTGCCGTGTAGAACATCACATCACTACATAATTGTATCATAAGCATGAGATACATGTACATATCAAAAGCCTCGCAGTACACTGCAATAAATGTAAGTAGCTAATTAAGCTGGGATCTATGTATAGGGGTGTATATGAGACAGGAAGAGATAGGCTTCACATAATATCAAAATGAGCCAAATCCAAAATTTTAGTAAGGACAGTTTTGGATTCAGATATTAACTGGGCAAACCCAATATTTGAATTAAACAAAGAAATTTGAACATTATGAGTATTGCATGTACAGTCGTAATTAATCTTTAATACGTCAATATAAGTATATTATCATGATAAGTAGATATCATTGATTAAAAAATTAATTATTTCCCTAATTGTTACAAAAGATGTTCTACAATATTTGGTCAACTAGTGCTAAATTGAGCTTGCCCAAAATGTGTCTTAAACCCAACCCAAAAATACACCAGGGATGGGTAGAAAATCCCTGGCCTTGAGTTGTAATGGTGGGGTGGGTTAAGGGATCATATGTTCAATTCCCATGTAATGTAAAACACAAACATAAGAGCATGTAAGTAAACCTCTCGGGGATCCTCTTGTGTTGTATCACGGAGAGTGAATATTTCTTTCTGGCGATACGCAGCATTATCATCAAAATTCAGTTTAGCATCAGCAGCTACTAGTTGGTTATCAGCTGTCTCTGCCATGGGATTGATCTGTAAAGAAAATGAACTGTCATTATAGAAATTCTTTAAAAGCAATAGATATGTAGAGTGCAGACGACTGAAACATGGACATGCTTACTTCTAAAAGGGTGCAGTCAGAATCAACAAAAAGCTTATACAAATTCTTCACTTGTTCAATTGATTGATTTCTATCAGCCACTTTGGGAGCCAAACCATCAACAACCTTGGCAGCATCTTCATCAGTAATTCCTTCAAAAACATCAACAGGTACCTACTAGAAAGAAGGAATGGATCAGGCATATCTGGCAAAGAATACTGCTCAGAGAAATGTCGAGAATCACAAACCTTTATGATCATGTCTGGAAATTTCTCTGCAAGGTCTTCAATGCTCGTTCCTCCCTTTCTACAAGCAATAATAAGCTGCAAAAGTATAACAAAAAAACTGTAATAAGCAAAATACTCCTCCTGTTCTTTGTTATAAGCAAATTTAACCAATTTCACACATTAAGGAAATCAGTTCAAGTCAATTGTTTTTATTTAACAAAAACACCCTTCGTGAATAAATTTTACAACTAGCATCGTGTGTGCCACCTCTTTATTAATGGCTGCCTACAGGCTACACATTTACATGTTTATCTTCTTCGCAGCCCCTCCTTCAATTGCTAATAGCATATGGTGGGAAGGGAAGAATACGAGGAAGTAAAAAAATAAAGCAACCACTCGTGCATAATTTTGGTGATCTTTCCACTAGTCAACTACTAATAGTAACCTGTGCTCTCTCTAGAACTAATCAGTTTGTGGCATAGAAAATTGTCTTAACTAAATGGTGATATCGGAAATTCAAACAGTAATTTAATTAAAGGTATTATGGGAAGAATAATATCAAAAAGTGTAAAGGTAGTTAATATTTGCTTATATTAGAGCAAGAGAAGTTGATATTGTTTTGCTTAAAATAAGGAACAGAGGGAATAGCTGTTTATTATTGATCCAATTTAAAGGAAAGAACTTTGCTGTTTATTATTGGTCCAATTTTAAGGTAAGAATGTTGCTGTTTGTTATTGGCCAAATTTAAAGGAAAGAAAATTAAACAAGTTGTCCATTGTACGTAAAAGTTTTTATCTTATCACTTAAAGTAGATCGAAGCTAATATAATGGAATAGAAAACTTACTGGGCCAGCAGTCTTACGATCCAGAGTTATAGCAAAGTACATCTCATTCACAAGTGACAGCTTTTCACACAAGTAAACCTGTAAAAGTTATAGACAATTAGATGTCAAACAATCGATGCAGCAGCAATATGTCCCCCCCTTTCATATATATTCTATTTTAAAAAATAAAATGACAATCAAAATAAATAAAAAGTAGCAGTTGTCGTTGTGTGTGCAGTACTTCTGATATCCAATTGACATGAAATGTACTTCCATGTTCGATGTATTAATCACATAGAATCCATATAACAATTGGCTAGCCTACCAAATTACCACAAAAAGTGCCTATGTAAGTTGGATAACAAATATCCAGTTGACCCGTCCAACAACTCAAATCATACTGGTTTACCAGTTTCAGCTGCTGGACTAATAGTGTATGAGCTGAAATCAATCCACAATAAACCAGATTGGTTAGTAGCCAGTTTACCCGGTCCAACAGGCTGAAGTGTATGAGCTTCCCATGACTAAAGTTTGAAGTACTGTTTTGCAAGAGCGATTTAACCTCCAACAGACATAATGCATGTAAGGAAAAAAGACCTATAGTGGGCTCCAAAGGGTGTAAATTTCACAAAGAAAACAAACATAACAACTCAAACATAATTTATCTGTGAAAATTGATAAGGTTACAATTGCTTGCCAGAATTTCAACTTCTAGATAAGAAAATTGCTTGGCAGAAAGAAGGATATTGAAAATGCTAACATATTTACAACTACAATATTGAATAATTTCACACCTTGCTAACGATTTTTCCCTGAGGACCTGTCTGTTTTGTAACTAGTATCTGCCCAAGCATCTTCCCTGAAAAAATAACAAAGAAAATCACAACAATGAAACAACTACAGGCCCAAGCCAAAAAAAAATATTCACCGAAAAACTTAGATCATCAAGTATGATATCTTCTAACCTCTCTAAATTCAAATCAACTAAATTAATAATATGAATGGAGAGACCTCATACATTGAAAGTCATGGATGAACATGAAATGAGAACATGGAAATTTTGAATTTGAGGAATAACAGAGGTATCATGCATTACCAGCAATGTCTTCAACCTGTTCAGTCTTAACGATGTGTACTCCTCCCTTAAGGCCACTTTTAAAAGTTCCCAAGCCACGTCCACCGGCTAAAATTTGACTCTTCACCACCAACTGCACAATAATCACAGTTACACCTTTAACATCCACTAACCAAAAAATTTTGTAATAAATTTCCGAAGTCGCAAATTGTATAACTCCTTCCTCAATTGGTTAAAACAAGAAAATGATAAAAACAAAATTGCAGTCTACAATTTCAAGTTGCATGGATTACCTCGCTTTGATTGGGGAATGCATCCTTGATGGCTTTTCTGGTTTCTTCAACAGAAGAAACAGCGACACCTCTGGGAACGTTAACTCCGTATTTGCTCATCAATTCAGCACCCTAATTTCATGGGAAATAAAGTAAGTAAATAAATCGGTGCGGTTAAGCGAACCTCGATCGCGTTAAATAGACATCGACGACTTCGTAAACTACAAATTCAAGGAAAGGAACTACAGATTCATCATCATCAACAAACACGCGATTTATTATGGCAAGAAATGAATCGAGAGAAACCTGATACTCGTGGATGTTGAGGCGGCGGAGCTGTTGATTCTGCCATTTGCCGGCGACGGAGAGAGAGCGGGAGAGGAGTTTGTTGAGCGAACCTCTGACCATTTTTGTGAGGGATTTGAAGATCGGAGTGACGGGATCCGATTGAGGAAGAATGGAATTGGCTTTAAACACGGTGTGTGCTCGTCGCGAACGCTAATAGCAGACCCTAGAAATTCTTCTCTTTTTTTTTCTTTGTTGAGGCACCTAGAAGTTCTTTTTAAGACAGTAGAGTAATATAAATTTTACAGACCAAAAATATATAAGACTTGGAATTTTATAATCTTTTGTTTAAATATGTAATTGCTCTTATACATAAATTTATAATTACTTTTGTTTAAATATATAATTGCTTGGAGAAATTCATCACTTTTTAAATTTATTTTTGTTTGTTTGAATTTTGATCTTTGTAAATATTTTTTATTTGATTTTCTGAAAATTGATTTTGATATAAAAGGCTTAAATATACGATATCTCCCGTAAAGTAAACGAGTTTCGTTTTACTTTTGTAATATATTTATTTGGATTACACATGTGTAATGTAAATATTTTTTTGTTTTGCCTCTAAACATACGATTTGAATACTAAATCTAGAAGAATAAATCAAAACTCGCTCACACCGAGGGTAATTTGTAGACTAAGGAACAAAAGACACATAATCTTAACATTTTAAATGAAGAATCCAAAAAAATAATTTACAAGGATAAACTTAATCTCGTCTACATTGCAGGGGTGTCGTATATTACTCGACATTCCAAATTTATGAAGCCTCTCCTTCATTGTCAACTTATCTTGACAAGGAAGTCACATGATAAACAAAGCTTTATGTCTTGCACTATTGTCATAAAAAAGTCTTCTTCATTGCATCTGTTGTTGTTGATCCAAGAGCACATAATAAAACTTTTTCAAGTTGAACTTTTTTGTCATCATAATATTATGTCATTCTTGCATTGTTTGCGTAACATTTCTCTGTTTGAGAATGTTTTTCAGAATCCAAGAGCAAGTGGAAACAATATACTTCAATGACCTTTTCCTCCACAAGATAGCAAATATTTTCATTATTTTTGCTATTATGACCATTCTTTTCAATATTTTTCTATTTCTTGTGAAAAGATTGTAAGTGTGTGAGACATTTTTAGTGAGGAGAGAAAGAATAACAAAAGAAATAAAGATTCTATTATTCACTTGAATTGTATTGTACAAAATAAGGATACACGCTATGACTATTTATATATCACCTTAACTGGGTTTGGGCTTACACAACTTAAATTATATTTAAATATTAAATCTAATCTAATATTTCAACAAAAATGTGTTCTTATTATTAGCACTATGATTATGATCAAAACCAAGACCACAATCATAATTATGACCACGACCACAGTTTTTACATAGTGATTTTATCTTGCTACATTCACTTCTGGAATAGAGCGGTACTAGTGGGACAGGCCTCATGATTTTTCATAAATAGCTCGTTATGTTGTTCAGTCACAAGAAGACACGATATCAAGTTAGAATGTTTAGTCAATCCTTTTTCTTGATATTGCTGCTGTGGGAGCACATTAGATGCATGAAAAGTGGAAAATATTTTTTCTAACATATCTTCATCAGATGTTTTTTCTCCACAAAATATTATCTTAGAAGTCATCCTAAATAATGGAAAATTATAATCACTTACAATTTTAAAATTTTACAAACGTAAATGCATTCAATCATAATGAGCTTTTGGTAGAATAAATATTTTTTGATGATCATATCTTTCTTTTAAATTGTTCCACGTAACATGTGGGTCAGTTGTATTAAGATATTAATTCTTGAGGTCCTCTGAAGATGGCGACAAAGGAATATCATGGATTTTGCTTATTGTTGATTAGATGATGTATTTACTTATTTAATAGTATCATAATGACCTTATGCAATTAAATGGATTTCAACATCTAGAGCCCAATACAAATTAATAAACAAAACAATCGAATGAGTAATATGTTGCAAATGTAATCTCAATGGGTAAATAAATCAAAACCACAAAATAAATCCAAAGACAAAGACAAGCACTTGCGCATCACGTTCATAATCCAACGAACTTGCGTAGGGACATGAAAATGAATTGCAAAAGAAAAAGGTGATGTGTGAGTTGAAGACCCTCAAACCCAAATTATTAAATGGTGAATGAACTCAATCACCAAAATGGTAAAAAAAAATCATTGACCAATAACCCGCTGATGAGATGCAACGAGGAATGAAACCATTTTGGGCCAAACAGACCGAGGCATCAAATTTGAAGCTGACGAAGAAACTATGATAAATTATCAACTTATCTCAGAAAATCAACACCAAATCAACAACTAAGGTGTTTGCTGGACTTCAATAAAACAAGATGTGAATCGATGAACAATTTAGCAAACACAATTAAAAAATGTCTAATAAAGCACCACAAATTTATAAAGATCCACCATATATCCAACAATGTAACCGTTGGAAAAAACTCATATCAAACTACATATTTGACATCACGTGAGAGTCGTGGTTGAACCTCTAATGTGAGTAGAAACCAAACTTTGATGGTCATGGTGAAAAATAACTATGAAGGATTCAACAATTAAGGTGTGGAGTGTTGGTGATTTTAGTATCACCAATGTATTTTAGTAGTAATGTGATTTACTAAAGGCCGATGCAATTATGCGTTAAGCTTGTAAACGAGTTAGGGAAGTGCGGAGTGCATGCTCGTCGAGCCAATGTATAATTGAATATGAATAATTGAAACGGGGTTACAAGGGGCGAAGCCCCTAGCGGGGTACGGGGCAGCGTCCCGTTGGGATTCCAAGGGGCGAAGCCCCTGGCGGGGTGCGGGGCAGCGCCCCGTTGGGGTCCAAGGGGCGGAGCCCCTGGCTGGGGTCCCGCTCGAAAATTTTGAATCCTTTTCCCCAACCAACAGGTATGTCTTTTCGGTTTCAGTTATTGATCTCCTATATAAGAAGTCATTTGGCCTCTGTTTCAAATACGGAAAACGACACTTTCTCTCTATATTTGTAATCAGTTTCTTTTGCCAGAAACAGATTGTTCTTCGAGAATTATCTCCACAAAGATTTTGTGAACCCAGGCAAGAATAGGGTCGAAATACTTTGTTCGGAAAGTGTACAAACACGATTCTTCGAAGTTATCCAGGATTATCATACTCAAATCTCTTACATGGAGTTGGAAGGTGGTGTGATATGAAAATGTTGCATCACCCCTCGTCTCTTTATATGATTTGTATGGTTGTTTAAATTATAGATGAGAGGAAGGAAAATGATGGACGACGACGTATGTATATATATATATATATATATATATATATATATATATATATATATATATATATATATATATATATATATATATATATATATATATATATATATATATATATATATATATATATATATATATATATATATATATATATATATATATATATAACTAATAATTAACAATTAAAATATATTGAAATTAAAACATTTAAAAATCTTTTTTTAATATTTAATTATTTAATTTAAAATTAGTTTTTATCATTTTCATATATTATATATAATATTTTTTTTTTTACCTTATCTAAGCATATATAATTAAATCATTTATTCATTCAACATTTTCATCTATTGACTCAACCTCTTCCTGGATTTTTTGACATTTGTGGAAAGGTCATTTGTAGGAGTCTAAGGAGGGAATGTCCATATTCCCATCACTTTTATTGACTATAATAACATTGAATAAAGTTCTTGTGACCAAAATTAGAGAAACAACGAGTGCTTTATAAAGAATAATGTCAAGTGTAAAGGTAGAATGCATAGTAAAAAGAATAAGAAATTCAAATAGAATATATGTGCAAAATGAAATCTAAGCTTAAGTTTCAAGTGAAATATTTCTCTCCTCTAACTAAAACTTAGAACCAAATATTTGACCATAGGAAAAAAAGCTAAACAAACTAAAAAGCATGTTAAGTAACTTCAAATAAGCCTACTTATCTAACATTAGGTGTCACGTGTAACACGCATACACACATATAATGATGTCATATGTTCATTGCAAATTTGTGCCAATTATTTAATACAGTTTGAACTTTAAAAAAATATTTTATGAGATATTTTGTTTCATTAGAATGCATTTAGTAAATTAGAAATTTTCATACAACCTTTGTGTTATCACTTCAAGACAGATAAATGTTCAAGTTTAGGGGTGTGATAACTTCCTTTATATGACATATTTAAGTCTTAAATAGTTGAATTTATCACTAAATTCTTAGGTGTATTATGTTACTTTTATATGTTTTTAGTTAATTAGTAATATTTTTTTTGTAAATGGGCATAATATGTTATCTGTTTTTGGATTTTAGTTGATATTTTTTGTGCAATATTAGCTTATATGATGAGGGACCTTAGGACAATATTCGATTGTTAATTCCTAACATACTTAAGTATCAGAAGATGTTGGTTGATTTCATGACATCAAAAGCAGATATGAATTGGAGAATATCTTTAGAAGTTAAAATAGAATGTTGAGTTGTCAAATATGGATACACATGAAAACATGCAAAGTGACTAAGAGATGGTGTGTGTGACGTACTATCATAATTGTTATTTCTCTGAAATTATGATTGACATACATTTTGGTAAAATCAACTTGGCAGCAACATGTTGAATAAGATGTTCTAACTTGCAGTTTTCAACATGTCGAATAAGATATTCCAAATAAGAGGATAGGACATCGTGTCTGCAGCAGCTGACAAATATAATTCGGTTGATATATTAGTTACTGAATATTTAGTTAGCTTATATGGCGTCTAAGATTGACAAATCAGAGATTCTATGTTGGTTTCAAAGACATTCAAAGTTTATAAATATGGAGACATTTAGGAAACAAATGATTGAAGACCTATTTTTTTGGAGAAATTTATGCAGACTTTGTGCAACCTCACTGCTAGGATTTGAAGCTCAATTCAGTCCAGAATAATATTATATATAAACTTGTGTATGTAGCGGTGAAAATCGGAGATCAAACTATTAATTAACTTAACTCGTAAAAAAACA